AAGTTGGGCCGTGGACAAGCAAGATTAATCTTTCAGTGGTACCCCTGGATGACTTCCGAGTTGTCTTGGGAATGGACTTCATGAGACAAGCAGAAGCAGCACTCCTGCCTCACATCAACTCTCTGTGCACGAGCGCTCCCCTTGCATGGTACTAGTTACGACTTCTACTAAGGTTCATGGGAAGCAAGTTTCTGCACTACAACATTTTCACGAAGAAACCTTGTTCAACGCCAACATGAAGGAAGCAGAGAAGTTCCCCACTCCACTAGCGGAAGAAGCCGCCCCTCAAGCCAACAACTACAACAACAGCAGGAAGCAGTAGGTCGTCCAACCGTCTACACCTCTCCAACAACAGAGTTCGTGCATGTCGACAACCATCAAGCAAAACAGAAGACCCAAGGCCATGTCCAAGTTAGCCCACACCTGCTACCACAACCACAGGGGAAAGCGAGTGTCACCCAAGCCGCCTAGGGACCACTTTCGGACCATCCCTCGAACTGAATCACGTAGTAGCCTTGTGAGTCACTCTTGGGGAAAAATCAATGGGAACCAACACCCTAACAATCCAAAATACCATTTTGACCCATCCTTGGCCACCAACTTTCCTACCCCCATCAGGAACAAGTCAAAATCCTACCATGAAGCAGCCAAACTGGGACTTAACTTAGGGACAAGCCATAGGTTTTGCCACCAACAAGAACATCCACTAGCAATCTATCCAACCAACTATCTGGACCTTGGAAGAAACCCGGTTCGTGGAGCCAGTCGAAGAACCATCCTTCACCAACAGCAAGTTCAAGCCTCACGCAGAAGCTAGTCTTCGAGGACGAAGACTGAATTGAGTGGGGGAGACTGTAACAAGTGTTCTCTTCACAGCGCCAACCACTGTGCCTACAGCCGCCATTCCAACGTCCAAGTGCGTGTCATGGGTGGGCTATGCCTGTACTTTTGTATGGGGGATTGCCAATGGCATTTTTGTAATACTGTAGTATGCTTTTTCACCTTTTTGATGTTTCTTATTGTCACTCCCCCAAAAGCTTAACGTACTCTTTGAGGGGAGGTAGGTAGTCGAGTGAGCTCATAAGCGTGTAAAAGTTGAGCACGAGATCCCCTCGACACTGTACTGTGTGCTTGTGCTTACCACTGATTAATGCAATACAAGTAGCCTTTTGCTAATTCATGTGCCTTCTTGTTGCCTTTGTGTATATGTTTGCTTTGTTTCGTAGGCTTACTCGCCTATTTCGAATGCCGCACGGGGCCCCAACAATTACCCCCGTGACAGTGTGGCATTGAACATAGTCGAATGGCTATGTAGCTTGTTTGAGGCTGCATAATCGTTCGGCTGTGTGCATACCGAACAGCCATGAAGCAAGGCTGTGTTGACAAAAAAAAAATTCTAGTTGCAATATGTATATACGTATGTGATTTACGTGCATCAGATTTGTATAATAGTTAACATTGAGTTGTTTTTTCTTTGTTTTTTTTTTTTTGTTTTGTCATGTATGCAATACTAATGATTTTACTTACATTGGTTGCATATAGTATTTTCAAATTAAGTTGATTGAAACAACATATTACCAAAGTAGCCTCTGCTGTGTATAATTAATTTGATTTGAAATGTAAGGATTTTGYGTTGGCTCAAAGGAAGGTTGATGTTTGGCCAGGTAATGAACACACGTGCRATGATAAATATTGATATTATAAAGTTGTTATCCATGTGAATAACAGTCGATTCAAAGAAAAGTTGTTGTTTGACAGGATTTAATACCAATGTTTGATTGTTGCGTTGAGAGTACCATTTACAATTGATATTTCTGTGCAAACACTAAATGTCAAGTTGTGCTAGGTATCATATTTTTTTATTTGTATTATTCATTATATGTTGTTTTTGTTCTCTATTCAGTTTCAACAACTACAAATAATGTTTTTGCTCAAATCAGTGCCATTCCTATGCTAAATGGTACAAACTTTAAGGTCTAGAAAGAGAATATAGAAATCGTTCTCGACTGCATGGATTTAGACCTTGCATTAAGGACGGAGCGACTCATTCCAACCGAGGATAATTCAAATGAGAACAAAGTTGAGAAATGTGATCGCTCTAATTGCAAGAGTCTAATGATAATAAAACGTTCCATACCGGAAGCGTCTCAGGGCTCTATTTCTGAGAGCAATAATGCTAAAGAATCCCTTGTGGCAATACAACAGTATTTTGCCAAAAATGAAAAAGCATAAACTAGCAACCTTTTGGCTACTTTGATTTCTATGAGGAATAAGCGAAAGGGAAACATAAGGGAGTACTTGTTGGAAAACTAAAGGCACTAAAGTTAGAGATAAATGATGATTTTACTTGTGCATTTAGCTCTCATTTTTCTTCCTGCACAATTCAATCAATTTAAGGTGAATTATAATACTGAGAAGGATAAATGGATTATTAATTAACTCATTTTTCAAGTGTGCAAGAAGAAGAAATGATCCAAAGGGAAAGGACTCAAAGTGCTCACTTAGCATCGGCCTTTTAGAATAATAAAAAAAAGGCTAAAGATACTACAAATGGAACACCCTTACAAAAAAAGGCAAGAAGCAAGGTGATGAATTCACCTGTTTTTTCTACAAGAAGGCAGGACACATGAAGAAAGAGTGTTCCAAATACGTCGCCTGGCGTGTAAAGAAGGGTAAGTCTCTCACTTTAGTTTGTTCCGAGGCTAATTTAACTTTTGTACCTATAGACACATTGTGGATACATTCTGGCGCTACTACTCACATAAGTATGTCTATGCAGGGTTGTTTCTAAAGCCGACCGCCAACTGATGCTGAAAGGTTCATCTATGTGGACAATGGCGATAAAGTTCCCGTGGAAGCTGTAGGACATTTTAGATTATTTTTTAAAACTGGTTGTTATTTGAATTTAGTTAAGACTTTGGTAACTCTGTCATTTAAACGAAACTTAATTTATATTTCCTATTTGGACAAATGTGGATACTTTTGTGGTTTTGAAAATAATAAAGTTAGTATCTCTCTAAATTCAGATGTTATTGGTATCAATATTTTAATTGGTCGTCTTTATATGCTAGAAACCACTGCTTCCTGATAAAGGGAAATTTGGCCCGACCTCGCAATCACCCGACACGTGACAAAAGCAAACAACTCGGGACAGCAGAGCGCCCAAAACGAGAACCGAAAGTAACGAAGTCCAAGCTCACTACCGAGCCCGAACTCCACCAGACCGCTCTACTAGGAGCCCGAGCTCCCTACCAAGAGTCCAAGCTCCCTACTGGGAGTCCGAGCTCCCTATTAAGAGTCCGAGCTCCCTATTAAGAACCCGAGCTCCCTACTGAGAACCCGAGCTCCCTACTGAGAACCCGAGCTCCCTATTGAGAACCCGAGCTCCCTGCAAGGAGCACGAACTACCTCGGGTCCCAAGCCTCGCAAAGCTGTGACCCGAACTGACCCATGACAGTTTGGAACACTCCCCAAACCGAGCTCAAGACATCTCGCTCGCCACTCCAGCACTTCGCTTCCGAAACACCAGGCTGACCAAACGTGCCTGACGCCAAGGACGTCCGTATTCAAGCATGAAAGGTGTTGCTAAAAAAAGAAACAGAATGCTTAAGGTCATGGTAAGAAGTATGATTAATCATTCTTCTTTATCTGAATCACTTTGGGAGAAGCATTAAAAACTGCAATGTATATCCTAACAGAATACCCAACAAAGCAGTAATTAAAACCCCATATGAGTTGTGGACTGGAAAAATGCCCAGTATAAGACACCTATACATTTGGGGATGTCCAACTGAAGTAAAGCCTTATAGGCCTAACGAAAGGAAATAAACCCAGCATGAATGGTGTTGCTGAAAGATGAAACAGGACGCTTAAGGACATAGAAGTATGATTAATCATTCTTCTTTACCTGAATCACATTGGGAGAAGCATTAAAAATTGCAATGTATATCCTAACAGTGTACCCAACAAAGCAGTAACTAAAACCTCTTGAGTTGTGGACTTGAAAAATGCCCAGTAGAAGGCACCTACACATTTGGGGATGTTCAACTGAAGTAAAGCCTTTTAGGCCTAACGAAAGGAAATTAGACTCTAAGACAGTTAGATGCTCTTTGTTGGATACGCAGAACACTCTCGATGATTTAAGTTTTATGATCCTACTACCCGGTCCTTCTTTGAGACGAAAAATGCAAGATTTCTTGAAGATGTAGAATTTGGAGGGAAAGAATTGAGGAACATCTCTTTTGACGAAACAATTGTCTTGGAATAAGAGAATTCCATTTCTTTCTAATATTATTATTGATGGTGATCAAACAATAATTTTTGACATTGTTCAAGAAACAATTCCGGTTCAAGACAACAATGAAGTTCCTCTTATAGAGGAAACTCAAGAGCCTCAAAAAGTAGATTTAGAACAAAGATTTTGTAGATTTAGCGGAAGATGATCCAACCAACATTCGCGAAACTCTTCAAAGTTTTAATTCTCAACGTTGGATCAATGCCATGCAAGAAGAGATGAAATCTATGAAAGACAATGAAGTTTGGGATTTTATCGAATTGCGTGGAGGTTCAAAACCTATTGGTTGCAAATGAATATTTAAAACCAAAAGGGATTCAAAAGGCAATGTCAAAAGATATAAGGCTCATCTAGTCACGAAAGGATTCACTCAGAAAAAACACATTGACTATAAAGAGATGCAAAAGGTTCCTTATGCCTCAGCAATACGAAGTCTAATGCATGCTTAAGTTTGTACCCGCCCCGATATAGTATTTATGGTGGGACTGTTGGACAAAAGGACAATTCGGAGATACTAGGTATTCTGATTCTAATTTTGCAAGATGCCATATTAGCTATGGCTATGTAATTTTGGCCATTAAATGATAGCGGATCCGTACATATATTGACTCGTATAGACTTGGTGGAAATGTAAATCATTTAGCCGCCCTCTATTCTCTCCCCATCAGAGATAGAGAACTGAGAAAACCTCAAGCAAAGGAAGGATTTAAATGAACAAACCACACCAGACGACTCAGGCACTCGTTCATCATTCATTCCGCAAAGGTTCGACTGCTGCGATCTTGGATCTTGGAAAGTCTCTTGATGTTTGTATGTTCCTTGTATTAGTCGAGTACTACATAATAGTTCTTCCTTGGACCCACTTGCTGAAACACCTCGAAGATTGGCTTGTTCCCGCAATTGGCGAACACCCATCTGTTGAAGATTCTCACTAAACTTAACCTTTGCAAGCCCATTTGAATCCGCGCATTCAGATCCCTCGGTCTCTTTTGACCAACTGATAAATTGATCGTTTCCGTCGATGGCACATTTTCTTTCCAAAGAGGTGATTCAAATCTTCCAACCTGTTAGAACAAAAAGTGATTTAGCTGCTAAAAATTGTATAGTTAGATGAGGTGACGGAAAGGCTAGGTTTACCAACGTGGTCTTGGTTCAAGTGCTTCTTCTTCTTCTTCCCTTCCCCAGTTCCGCCACTGCCGCTCAGTTCCTCTCTCTCTCTCTCTCTCTCACCACCGCAACTACTACGAGTACGGTTCCCCCCATCTCTCTCCCTGCCTCCCCCTTCTCTTTGGCTCGCTTTTTCTCTCTCTCTCCCTGAGACCAACCTCCTCAAACTAAAAGTGATTGTCCCTGCCACTCTCTCTCTCTCTGTGCCTTACTATTTCCACCACCGCCACTGCTACTAATACGGTTCCCCCCTCTCTCTCCCTGTCTCCCCCTTCTCTCCGGCTCCTCTTTCTCTCTCCCTGGCACCGCCCTCCTCGAACTGAAAGAGATGCCACTGTTGCGAGTACGGTTCCCCCTCTCTTTCAGATTAAAAAAAAAAAGAGTATCAGAGAGAAGGTTGAGAAGAAGACGATTGGTGGGAGAACAGAGTTGAGGAAGACGATCGACGGAAGAATAGAGAGGATGGTACTAGAAACTGCAACGTGAGGTGAGAGGACGACACTGGAAGCTGGGAGCAACCAGAGAAAAAGCAACCGCCACCCTCTCTGTCTGTTCAAGCCCCTCATGCAAGCTCTCACCTGGTATCTGTCAGGCCCCACCCCGACGGGCCTAACCTAACGTTCTGTCTCTGCTCCTCTTCTTCTCCCTCGGTTCACGCCTTTTTGCCAACCTCTCCCTCTCCACCCCTCTCTCGTTCTCCCCCACACTGTCTCTCTCCTTATCCTCTCCACTCTCCTTCAACAATATCGCTTCCACCGCCAGTCCGAGAGTCCGATGGTTAAAAGAAAGAGTCCCAAAGATTCTCCAAAAAGTCCGATGTTTAAGAGTTCGACCGTCAGCCATTAGTCGCGTCAGTTGTCCGATCGTCAGCTGGCAGTCACCTTTCGTCAGCTGTCAATCGCCTGTCGCTTGATATGCCTCTTCGATGGTTAATAGCGTGAATTCACAAAAAGTCCGGTGGTTAAAATCGCGCCGCGAGCTCTGTGCATCGGGTTCTACTCAGCAACTATCCTTTGTCCATCGGGTACTGGTGATCCCAGCAGCGGCGATGGCGAAAGTTCACTGATACAAGAAGTTGCTGTAGTCAAATGATGGCGAGGGGAAAGCGTTCATACCTGGTCATCCCTGCAACAGTGTCCGACAAAATTAATGAACGACGTACAATAAACTATCAGAGAGGGAAGCGTGAAGCAACCTCGCACGCGATTTTGGGAGACACGTGGCGTCCTAAATGAGGGTGCTTGAACCGAAGCGAATGAGAGAGATTCGGCTCGAATACACGTGTTAAATATAGGATTTTCAAAATCGTAATCTTATACTCTCCAAATACTGTTTGTGATTTCAATATATTGGTCAGTTATTTTACCGATATCATATCTTTTCCATATTATAGTATATAGAACAACTCATCTTATCAATTAAAATAAAACTAAATAAAATGAAAGTAGAAGGTTCAAAGTATTATGAATATTTTGAACTTTGATTTGACCTTGTACTGATTCAATTGTTAAAGAAAATTCATATGTTAACCTCACATTGGTCCAAGAAAATCTTTGACCAAATACAACATTATTTTTATATGTTCTAGCCAGTTTTGTTATATATTTAGACACACACCCTCGTCAATCCATCTTTAAAGAAATGTATTTTTAAAGAGCCGTTATTTTCATTCTCAAGAAAGAAAAGGCTAACAATAATTACTCTACTCTAAAAATGCATTCAGTTCAAATGATTTGAGATTCATATTGATAATGAATGACCTTTCTAACTCAATTTTATTAGGGTTAATTATTTAAACATATTTTAGGGTAAAATATAAAAATCTCCTCTGAAATTTTTGATAATCATAAAAATTTCCGTTATAGTTTCATTTTAATAAAAACCTCTTATTTATTTTGGACAAAATTAATAAATACCCCCTTTCATCAATAATCAAGACGAAAAACGTTTAAAAAATTATATTTTTTTCAAAATACCTATTTTACCTTTTCTTGAATACTATTCATCTTTTTCCATGTTGGAACCTATAAGTAGAGCCAGCAGCATCACCCCTCTAAATCCAATCTCTCTCTGACCTCTGACCTCTCGTTTTATTTTATATTTTTTATTATAATCGATTAATTAAGGTACCAATATCTTTATATATACACCCTTCTATTCCTTCCATCCCTCATCCTGTGCAATTGATAGAGAGAGATATTTATTATCTAGCTTTAGAGTGTATTAGAAGCACTAGGCTCGGTCACCAATTCGTCATGGAAGGAGTGGGAGTTCAAGCCGCCAAAAATGATGGTGCTGGTGAAGGAAGTGGCATTCAGGCTCGGCAAAGTCAAAGATTGCCTAATTTCTTACAAAGCGTGAACGTTAAATATGTGAAGTTGGAGTATCATTACTTGATGAAATATCTGGTCACTTTCTCTCTTGTTCCGGTGATGGTTGTGACCCTGGTCCAGGCGTCGTAGTTGAGAGCTCGGAGGATATCCTTGAACTATCACATCAGCTTGAGAACAATTTGGTGAGTGTCGTCATTTTCTCTGCACTGCTTGTATTGGGTGCTACCGTCTATTTCATGACGCGACCACACCCCGTGTATCTGGTGGACTTTTCCTACTACCTCCCTCCCTCAGACCTGAGAGTTAACTTCAAGGATTTCATGGAATACTCAAGGCTGACTAGGGACTTCGATGAGTCTTCACTTGAGTTTCAACGCAAGATCCTCGAGCACTTCGGACTCGACGAGGATACACACGTCCTTGACGCAATGCGCTACATTCCTCCACGGCAGGCAATGACTAACGCTAGGGAGGAAGCCAAGCAGGTCATGTTTGGCGCTCTAGAAAACCTCTTCTCCAATATCTCCATGAAGCCTAAGGACATTGGTATATTAGTCATGAACTGTAGCTTGTTCAATCCAACCCCTTCACTATCCGCTATGATTATCAACAAGTATAAGCTAAGAGGTAACATTGGGAGCTTTAATTTGGGTGGAATGGGATGTAATGCGGGAGTGATCGCCACCGACTTGGCCAAGGACATTCTCCAGGTTCACCGCAACACATATGCCGTCATCGTCAGCACTGAGAACACCACCCAAAATTGGTACTTCGGGAACCATAAATCATCATCCCGAAGAAGATGAGAGAGGAAGAGATCGGATTTAGAGGGGTGCCGCTGCCTCTGCTTTTGGGTTTGGAACGGGGAAGATGATGAATAGTGTTTGAGAAAGGGCAAAAGAGGTATTTTGAAAAAATATCATCTCTTTAACGTTTTCCATCTTACTCATGGACAGAAGGGAGGTATTTCTTAATTTTGTCAAAAATAGAAGGAAGGTTTTTACTAAAATGAAACTATAGGAGAGATTTTTATGATTGTCAAAAACTTCAGGGAAGGTTTTTGTATTTTACCCTATATTTTATTAAAATTAGTTAAATGTACCTTAAAATTTCAAAACCTATTTATTGGTCCCATATAACACAAATAGGACCATCATTAATTACTTCAAACTCTCTCATAATATCAATATTTCTATGGGTTTTATGACTAAAAATCAAATGGACTGGATTGGATGGTCAAACCAAAAAAACCAGGAATCGGTCAGGTGACCGGTTTCGGTTTTCTCCAAAACCGAAAATTTGCTCGAAACTGTTGATTTTGGTCAATAAACCGCTGATCCGGATAGTTAACTGTTTAAACGGTTTTAACCATTTTTTAAATTTTTTTGTCAGAACAGATCGTCTATTCGACCCAATAACCAGACCCCTGACCAGGTTGGTCTCCGAATCATTTTTAAAAACCATGCTAAAAATCAAAACCCAAAAATTTTCGAGGTTTTGATTTGCTCCCAAAAACATTCCATCCTTATCCTTTTTAGGAAGAAACTAATGAGTATTGTGGTAAGAAATATTTGGGCAAATTGAACTCTAAGACGATCATTATATCGAATATATAGCAAGGTGGTAGGAGATGCGTCCATGCTGTTTAAAGCGAAGGGAACAATGGAGTCGATCGTTTGTCTTATATTATCATCTAGTATTTGGTTAGTGAAATTCCTTTTCAAGCAAAAATGAAAACAACAATTAAAGCTTTTGTCGTTGTTTCTTTGGTGACTAAAAAAGCCAAACGTGCTGATACGTTCACAATATGTATAGTTTGTATGCAATAGTAGTAAATTATGTATTTCTCTTCTTTCTTAATTCAAATATACAACTCATAATTTACCAAAAAAAGAGTCTTTAAGCATGATAAACTGGAGATCAGCTTCAGTGCTCATAAGATCGTATTCATATCATTCATACAGCCTTTTATCCTGTGGATTGGGAATATTGTATGTTTTTTCAACCATAAGCGTGATAGAGAGATGCAAGTAACTGTGCGAATTGAATGATGTGAGTACGTAGTGTGAGGACCTCATGATCTCCTGCTAATAAAGATTCCTCTGAATGCGTTCCAGCATGATTTTTGTACACACATTGGATCCATCCCAAGACTGGGACCCACCATACATGTGATGTGCAAATATAGATCATGTTGGTTGGGATTTTTGTTGGCAGGAAATCCCGAGTCTGAATCTGCTCTCAACAAAAAATCGGTCCTGCATGTTCCAACAAGATTCGTGTTGACAGATCTCAGACATGATGAGATGTGCGAACATGAATCATGTTGCAAAGATGTTGGGACAGTTTTTTATTGGGAGCAAATTCCAACTCTTATAAATCTATCAAACCCAGTTAAGTCCACCCAAGTCCTAACCCTTGTCAAGTAGTTGTATTTTGATTTGGTTCAAACTTTGGCTGCATTTCTACTTTTAATAACTAAAAGCATAAAGCACTCATAGGTAGAACATACCACCATTCATGCTTATCTTCAAAGAGCCATTTCTCAGTGGAACCTAGCAAAAAGAGGAACCGCCTTCCTTTCCAAATTTTGAAGAGCTTCCCAATCTCTGATCCGAATTCACTTCGCCAAAATAGAAAGAGTTTCCATCTTTCCATAATTCCGACAGACACAAAATGACTTTTTGAAGAAAACCATCATGCACAAGGCTCTTACTAGAAGCAAAAATTCAAGCCAGCAATCGAAGGAGGTGATAGCATCTATACACCATCACTCCATCAGCTCTGAGACCCACACCCAAACCAAACCAAATACATAGCTCTATCACAATGGAAAAGAGCATGCATTGATTTCTTTTCACATCTTAAACAAACAGGAGAGTGGATAAATTTTTTGCTAAACAGGTTTTTCTGGACAGCTGGGCCATTTCTGTAGCATCTCCAAAGGAATTGCTTTATCTTGGGCTGAACTTAGTTTCCAAAGGGAGTTCCAAAATACTTTTGGCTTACCCAGGTCCCTGTTTGGGGTTGAATCTGTCAAACTTGATTGGGATGCCAAGAAGTATTCAGATTTTAAACATACCAAAGTTACAAGGACTCCAAACTAATTTTTCCCAACTATTTGGAGAAAGCGTTATGCTCAAGATTTTGTTGGCTATTGTTTCAGGAAAAGTGCTTCTAACCACATCAGATTTCCAACATCTTTCCCTTTCACAAATTAGAGATGAAACTGATTGTCCCAGAGACTCTTGAGCTCTAGGACCAATGGGTTTGAACCCTTCTAATCTTGGGATCCAAGGGTCAGACCAGATCGAGATCCACCATATCACCCTTTTCACTCTTCATAAAACCCCTCTTTGAAGGACTTTTCTCCCTTCCCGTGTACTTTTCCATCCCTAGGATTGATTTGATTTTTCTTTTACTTGAAGAAAGTGGGGATTTAGGAAATATATTTAGCCTTCATTACCCTAGCCCAAAGGCTTTCAAGAATATAGTCTCCAACCTAATCAAGTGATTTGACTTTAAGGTTATAATGCTTTTGAAAGAAATTCTTACTAATCATGACAGTCCAAATCTGCTGCTTGTTGGCCATGTAAGGGTCGGGATTTGGACTGGGTCCAAATGGCCACTGCAATTACATCACGAACATCTTGCCATGAATCCCAATATATGACTATAATGGTTGTTAATATCGTGTGTTGGGACTGTATCCAAACTTTCTTTAAAAAACCTACATAACCAATCAAGAGTGAATATTGCTCCTCACTTTTGATTAGGGGTGAGAAAATGGATAAGTTCTACCCGAAATCA